CCCCAAACTGTGCCCTCCCCGCTCCGAATGCCCACCGACTCTGCCCTCTCGGTTTCTCTCAGAGTAGCTTGGGTATCTTGTATGGCGTTGCTTTTTCATTCAGTGAAAAAGCCTTTCCAGGACAATGTTATTTTCATGACGCACACCCCCTGCGTGAAATCACGGTTTCTCAGTCTCTTCAAGTAACCGTCGCTAGTCAGAAGGTCCCAAGACTGAAGTAAAAAGAAGCATTTAGACTGAGGAGGAATTGTCTTCTTGCCTGGGGAAGCTGTGCAGGCGCTGGTGTATTTCCATGTACTACTTTCCCTTCTGCCTGCCTTGGTCTTGGCCTACCTGAGCCCGTTCAAGTTCCAAGCTTGCCTCCTGTGTTAGCAACGGAGAAAAGAAACTGATTAAGCATCTATTTAGGACCTACTAAAATCAGATTCCCCTATGTTTTTTTTTTTTTTTTCTTGCACAGGTTGATGAATGAACTTTGCTATAGTTTTGTGTGTGTGTGTGTGCAGGTGCATGCGTGTATGTTATGTGACTTCCTGAGGATATACAAATAGGCATCTGTTCACATCAGATAGGGCACCAACAATTTCGCCAAAGCCTATCCTAGTGAGCCTGTGGATTTATTGGCGTTACTTCTAGGAAAATGAGCAGCTTAAAGACAGCTGCACACGAAAAAAACGCACTCCAGCACGGGTGAGGACAGTGGACTACCGATCACCACTGGGCCAGTTGGAGTTGTTATTGCTTCCTATAACCTTGGGGAGGGCCATTGTGACTCTTGTTTGTTACAGAAACTTCTTGAACTTTCTGAGCGCTTACCTTCTAGATCGTAACAGCTGATGTGCTCTTGCACAGGTGTGCTTGTGGAGACCAGAGGACAGCAATGGGTAGCATTCTTTCTCAAGTGCCAAACAACCTCACCCCCTTTTGAAGACAAGAGTCTCTCAACAGCCTTGACTTGCTGAGTAGGCCAAGAATGCTGGTGAATAAGCTCTACACTTTCACCCTTCTTAGCATTGTGATTACAAGTTCACACCTCCAAAACTCAGCCTTTTTATGTGAGTTCTAGGGGTTATGTAGCAGTTTCCTCTCAAGTTAAAACCTTCCATCTTGGAGGAAAACTCTTTAAAATGTAAGATATGAAACAGAAGGTGAAAAAGGATATTTGAAGGCAGGATATTCAAAGGGAAGGTAAAACATTATATTCTACAGAAAAGCTCCTTAAGACAGGAAGTAGACACCTCAAAATAGCTTCAGAAAGTTCCCTGAAATTGACAAGATTCACTAGGCCCCTCCCTCTCCAAGCATGTATAAACAATAAGAACTGCTTAGGGTCATTTTCAGACAAGCCACGCTACAAAGAAGACTATCAGACAGTCTAGCATTTTAAGACCAACCAAGCAGCCTGGAAGAGACTCAGACCCATGGAGCTACCTACCTGGAAAGGACACTACAACCTGTTGAGCTGCTGCAGAGCAGGCACTGTGCTCCAGGTTTCCAGCTTTTGTGAGCTATCACACATGCTGAGGTGGGCTTTGGTGATGCAGCTGTCTTTGAGTCATTTCTGTTCCTTTAAGAAACTTCCTACCCATATTCCTGTAAGCAACCCTAATAAAACTCACTGGTTCACCCAGTTGGACTTTGGTGGTATCTGTACTGTGGTCTGTTGTTGGTCCTTTCCGGAATGAGTAGATACTTGTTTATATCTTCTCAGGAAATGTCTGCCACACAATAGGGTTGAACTCAGGTTCTTGTGCTTGCAAGGCACTTTTAACCAACTGGGCCATATCTCCAGATGACTTCTTAATTTGTTTTGTTTGTTTGTTTTGAGATAGTGTTTTCACTAAGTATCTCAGGCTGGCCTCTGTCTCTGGGCAGTCATTACCTCACTTTCCCAAGTGCTGGATATGCTGGTATATTAGGTTTCTCTAGAGGAACAGAACTTATAAAATGAGTCTCTCCCTTTACATATATCTATATGTACATATAGATATAGGTGATAGCTAGATAGACAGACAGACATATATAAAGTGGATTTATTAGAATGGCTTACAGGCTGTGGTCCAGCTAGTCCAACAATAGCTGTCTACTAACGGAAGGTCCAAGACAAGAATCCAGTATCTGTTCAGTCCATGAGGCTAGATGTCTCAGCTGGTCTTCATCATACGCCAGAATCCTGAAGAAGTAAGCTCTAATGCCAGTGAAGGAATGGACTTACCACTGAGAGCAAGAACAAGCAGACAAAGAGAGCAAGCTTCCTTCTTCCATGTCCTTTAAATAGGCTGCCTCTGGAAAATGTGGCCAAGATTAAAGGTGGATCTTCCTACCTCAAAAGATCCAAATTAAAAGTGGTATCCCCGATTCAAATGATTTAATTAAGAAAAAAAAATCCCTCACAGATGTATCCAGCAGCTTGGGTTTTAGTTAATTCCAGATCTAATCAAGTTGACAACCAAGAGTAGCCATTACAGTCCACTCTTTGTCAACTTGACACACAATTATATCTCCTTAAGTCATGCTTAATTTCTAAATGAAAATAATAACCAGGACATAATTATATCTAGCATGATAAAACTGTCCCATGTACACTTGCAAATGTATTATATATTTAAACCAGGTCATAATTACACCTAATATGATATAACTATCTCTTGTACAACCACAACCACATTATAAATTTTAGAATAGATGGCTTGTCCCTTGAGGGATATTCTTTTAGAATCTCAAGGCTTAAATATGACAAACCACTGAAACTCTCTTAGTTGATGTTACATCTACTCCAGTAAGGACAAAGCATTGTCTTTTTCATGGAGGAAGTGGTCCAATGTAGTCAGCTTGCCACCAGATTGCTGATTGGTTACCCCAGGCAATGGTGCCATATCTGGAGCTCAATATTGGTTTCTGCTGTTGACAGATCTGGCACTCAACAGCAGTTATAGCAAAGTCAGCCTTGGTGATTGGAAGTCCATATTGTTGGAGGTATAACCTCCATTTCTGCCATCATGGTCACTTTGTTCATGGGCCCATTTGGCAATGACAGGGATGGCTGGGGAAACAGGCTGACTATACACAGAAAAGATCAACCTACCTACTTGATTTTGAACTTCTCCTCTGCTGAAGATAGCTTTTGATGAGTATTTACATGGGGCACAAATATCTTCACGTCCTTTGTCCATTTGGGGAGATCTACATTCCTCTGCCCCAGATGTCTTTCTCACCAATTTTCCAATCATTTTCTGTCCAAGTCCCTGACCATCCAGCCAGTCCACTGGCTACAGCCTATGAATCAGTGAACAACTGAAAATCTGACCATTTCTCCTTCCAAACAAATGTATGACCATGCATACTGCCTGAAGATCTGCCCACTGTGAAGATTTCCCACCACCGGTATCTTTCAGGGTTGTCCCAGAAACAGGCTGTAATGCTGCAGCTGTCCACTTCTGCATAATGTGGAGATCCATCAGTAAACCAGGCCCTAGTCTTATCCTCCTTAGTCAGCCAATCACAGGGCATACCCCATGAGGCTATAGGTGCATGCTTGGCAGCAGATGACATTGTAACAGGAATAGAATCCTTGGCTTTGGGGCAACTTCTTCATGCAACTTGCTTGTGCATTCAGGACCTGTTCAAGTCCAATCACATATACACCACTTCCATTCGATAATGGATTACTGCTGTGGATGTCCTACTTTATGGCTTAGTGGGTTAGATAACACCCAGCACATGATGGGCAGCTCAGCTTTTATGATAACTTGGTGGCCCATTGTCAAATGTTCAGTTTCCACTAAGGCCCAGTAGCAGACTAAGAGCTGTCTTTCAAAGGGAGAATAGTCGTCTGGGGATGATGGTAGAACATTCCTCCAAATGCCAAAGGTACATTCCGTGATTCACAGACTACCAAAGAGCAACCCAAACAACAACCCTTCTATCTGCCACTGACACCACAGGTACCATAAGGTCTGCTAGAGCATATGGTCCAAGTGTAGAGCAGTCTGCACAGTGCCTGGACCTGTTGAAGCATTTTCTTATATTCCAGGGCCCACACAAAGCTATCAGCTTTGTGAGTCACTTGATATATGGACCAGAGTAACATACCCAAGGGAAGACTGTGCTGTCTCCAGAATCCAGATAGGCCCACTAAATGTAGTGAGTCTTTCTCTGTCTCACCAGTCAACTCTCAAATAACCACGTGGAGACTTACTATTAGTTATGAAAGCTCAGCTGACAGCTTAGGCTTGTTTCTAACAAGCTCTTATAACTTAAATTAACCCATTTCTATTAATTTACTTTCTGCCTTGTGGCT